CTGATCTTCATGCCATTTGGACGTCTAAGTGAAAAAATTTAAATCGCTTCAAAATTGTGAATATATCAGGATCAATAAAACCAGTCAAGTAGGGGGCAGGTCTTGCATAAAAGACCAAATTAATAAAGACTTTAATATAAATAACAACTAAAATCAACCCACATCAACTCTAGCCAACCTTACAAGAACTATGATAAGAAACTATTGTTATAGTTTCCGAAGGTTCAATGAAGCTGTCAGATTTTGCCGCCCTTTGTACTTTTACGGGAATAAAGAAAGCTTCACATGTTCAGTTGTTTACTTGCTAATCAATTGCGATTACAAGGTATTTAATAACTATATGTCCATAGAATATTAATATCTCTTATTAAAAATAAGGGTGACAAATGAGCACACAGCGCATTAGGTGTTAAGTGTATAGTGTGGCAAAAAGATTATACACCGAGAATTAAGATGGACTGCCTCGTTATCAGTAAAAAAAGACACCACTTCTTGTCACCGACCATACAAAACACTGCAGAATTATGCCTTTATTTTACTCTGATATTCTGCGAAAGTTTGGTCCTTCCCTTGGAGCTGCACCATTCATGCTGCAACCGTTAAAATACTGCAGCAAGATTTTACTGTGTGAAACAGAGTTTTTTCAGAGTCAATGTGCTGCCGATTATATCTCGTTATTCAATATTACCCTTATAGTTAAATTCTTCAGAAAAATGGTTACAGTTGAAAGGAAACTGAGTTTAAGAAATAGCTAAAGAAATCTCTTTATATATTTAAAAAGAACTATTAATGGCCGGGTAGTGTTAACTTAAAAGAATTCACTACAACATATCATCTTGTGGGTGTCATAAGAGATGACAGAGAGAATTGAAACAGGGAGTTGAGAGAGAACAAACAGAAACAGAGAATTGAGACAGCAGCATCTTCCTGATAACAACACAAAATAAGAAAAAAACTACTATTGCCAACCTGCCAGCTTAGCAACTTTTTTTTTTATAGGAAAAGGGTGACAAGCAAGCATAAAGTCCACCTGATGGTAAGTAGTTGCTGTGGCCCATAGACAACTACTTCTATCCTCGTTTGCGAATCACAATGTAGATGCGTTGTCAACCTTGGAGACTAAGATGGAATGCCTCTTTTCCAGTAAAAAGGGTCTCCTGTTCTCTACACTCACCATACGAAACACATCAGCATTAAGCTGCTATTTGACGCTGATGTTCTGTAAGAGCGTGGTTCTTCCCCGGTCGAGCCGACCCATTCGTGCTACAACTATACAATTAATATAGCTGCAGCATGGCTCTACCACGTAAAACTTTGGCAAGTATGAGACAATCTATAGGAGGAGGCCTACATCAGTGGTTTTTGATAGGCTGTGATGAATGAATTTAATAATATCCCACTTGAAGGGTATACTAATATATTATAAGGTAAATTTTGGTGAAGATTAAAAATGAATCATACTTATCAACACCACCAACAAGTAGCAAAAGGAGAGCTTTCTTAACATCTTCATGACCATATATCTCAGGCGCGAGACTCTGCGCCATCCTTGAATATAAATCCTCATCTGCTAACTCTGCCAATTCTTCTTCAGTCAATGCCTCTGCCATTTCATATTCATCACTTTCGTTTAAGCATGTCACAGCCTAAGACACATGAAGAAGTTATAAGCAATAATTAAAAAACAATAATATTATTAGATATTACACTAACGTTTTTTCATACACAAATTAAAATTAAACATTAAAAAAAAACTAATATCAATATAATTACATAATAAACTCACTTTTACAGTTTCATACTGAAAAAATGTTAATAGAAAAAATTAATATGAAATCTTAAAAAAAAGACAAGTATCACAACATCAAGGTAACAACTAAAATTAGAATGTCTTTATAAGCTGAACGCACATTTGTCACCACCGCACGCGCCGTACGCACCGCATTTTAGAATTCGTTGTATGAAATCATATGACACCTCGCACATTATAGCCGCATCGCGTTCGGCGCATGCTGAGTGTTGTCTAAAGTGAATTATAGACGGGCGAGCAAGTACGCGTACTTATGGCTCGACGACCTTTTTCGCTCGTGTGTAACCGTAAGTACGCGTACTTTGAAACCGCCGAGTAAGTTCGTCGGCGATCCAACCGGTTTGAAATCTTACTCGTAACTCGTCTTGGGTCGTACGTTTGGCAGCACTGCGAGCCGCGAGCCGCCATTTTGTTTCGCCAGTCCGTGGACGCGCACGCTTGTTTAAATTGCAATTTTTGTTAATTTTGATTCAGAAATTTCTCAAAATGTGTGATTTTCGAACTTATTCGCATGAACTGCTAACCGAATTTATAGAAGCTTTCCGAAATAACCCTGGTCTTTGGAAAATTAGAAGCAATGACTACAAAGACAAAAATTTGAAGCTTCAAGCATACAATAATTTATTAGAAATTATACGGAAGGTAGAAAGAGATGCTACGATTGAGAACGTCAAGAAAAAAATTAATTCATTAAGGGCTGGGTTCCGAAAAGAACATAAAAAAGTGCAAGATAGCAAGAAGACAGGTTCAGGAACTGACCAGGTATACGTGCCAAAATTATGGTATTACAGTCAGCTTGAATTTCTCAAAGATCAAGGCCAAGGTAAGTTTAATTATTTATTAAAGAATTTCTCTATACACTATTATATTATACGTGCGTATTCTTTGTTATGCCTGTGCATAAATTAGGTAGGTACCTAAAATAGAGTACCTATTATAGTACTTTGTTTCATTACAATGATGACATTGTGATGTTGAACATTAAAACCAAAAGTAAATTTAGAGGGTTTTTATTTAATTACAGGTGAACAATCAACTGACAATATAGACATCAGAAATACGTCCATTTGTTCCAATATCTACATAAATAAATTCATAATTTGCATTTGCAATTCCCATAAGTACAATACTGTGAAACCCTTTATAATTAAAAAAATGTGAGCCGGCTCCGGCAGGAGGAACTATAGCTACATGTTTCCCATCGACGGCTCCTAAACAATTTGGAAATTGCCATGTACGCTCAAACTCTTCAGCAATTGCTAGCCATTCTTCTTCTGAACTCGGGAACTGTAACAAAAAAACCCATAATTCAATATAAATGATATCATTTTTATTTACAGAGTACCATTTGCAACGTGTCATCACCTGTGACACCTGCAACATCTGTTGCTTCATCTGCACGTCGTAAGCGACACGGCAATGCCGCCATTGAAGACACAATTAAACTCCGCAACATGACTGCTATTCAACAAGGCATAGCTGAAAAGCTCATCAATGAAGTTATTTTTTTGGGACGGTTTGAAACTATTAGTATCCCGGACACCCTGGTTGAATATTTAAACTTTAATAATAATAACTAAAAATAAATAAAATAGTATGTTACATTTGTATATGTTCAAGAGTAAATTTATTTGTTAAGCATTAATGTTAATGTGCCATTGCAAAATAAAGTCTGATTATTTGTACTGAGTTATTTTATTTATAAAGTATGTAATAAATGATACATACCTTCAAATATGTTTTCAGTGCAGAGTAGATTGCGTCACATGTCTCAGGAATTATGTACCCCAATGACTGTCTTGATATCGCTGACGAATACATTACATCTTTATATGTTCCACCAGTTATCAAAAATCGTAATGTTGCACTTAAACGTTCATGCGGTGAAATGAATCTCTCATGCAAGTATCCTGTTTAGCTATAATTGGTGTGACTAAACACAAAAGTTCTTCATACACAGGCTCAGGCATTCTGAAATAATTCTGGAAATCTTCCTTCTCTTCACGTAACTCTCTTACTAAATTCACATGTGATAAACGCTCTCTTTTTTGTAAGCCAGTTCTTAACCCACACTTTTCGCCTTCGTCTATTGTTTTTAGTTTTTGAAATGTAATACGATATAATTCCTAAATAACACAAAGCTTCTTCAGTGGACGACATCGCGATACGGTATGAGTAAGTTGGCGCGTGTGTCGCCGACGTCGAGCCAAGTAAGTTCGCGATCTTAAAAACCGCCTACTTTAAGTTCGTACGTCTATCACCCACTTAATGGATCCTTAGTGGATTTTCCCTTCAAACTGGTAGTTTCGACTTTTGTTTCGAAATATATTTTTACTTTATTTCAGGAGCCTTTTCCTTTACTGTGTAAGCAACAATGAGTCGTCACATAATACTTTTTATAGGTTTTAATTAATCCGTAATAAATTATAAATAATGTGAAAAAAAAATTGCATCAATTATCAATATATTATTGAGCGACAAAATTATTTAAATACAATAAAAATTAATAAGTAATTTTAATTCAAAAACCCAATTATACCTGATTACTTAATTATCATTAAAAGTACTTACCTCAAACATACAAGTCTTTCCTCTGGTTCTATTGGCCTTCTTAATCTTGAGTTTTCCATAGAGATATGGTTTTATTATATGTAGCAATTCTTGAAATTTCTTGTATGTTAAATGCAAATATTTGAAAAAATTGTTCATAATCATCTAAGTCTTTAAATAAAGCATGATATTCTCCATACAACTGCCTTTTTGAATTAATATTATGAATCCATAATCTTCTTTTCTTTGAATTTTATTTTCTTCTTCCTCTACCAATAAGTAGGCTATTACAACAATTTTTTCTATAGCGAGTGATCAATGTACCTGTATCGTTACACACCGGTGGTTGAAAAAAGTGTAAAAGTTTTTGGCAAAATAAAACAATACGTACGGCGCGTAAGTACAAATGTGCGAGGCCATCCGCAAAAAGCGGCGCGTGCGTCGCGCACGGCGCGGACAAATGTGCCTTCAGCTTTAGTATACTAAAAATCATCCCTACTTTTATTAAAATACAAATTGTACCTATGCTACACTTGAGGTAACTTATACAATTGGTGCAGATATCGCGTTATTTATGTCTTTTTTAGAGATTCAGGATTTAAAAAAAACTAAGAAATGGTGTGATTTCAGTAATACTTACATGTGCTTCTAAGTAGGTGTCAGACAGTAGACCCTGCACTATTTGCCAGAAACCGGCGCTAAGCAAAGGCAAGAACACACCAGTCACCGCTACATGGTCTCCAGGTTGCGCTCGCCGTGTTGTCTCACCGCGACAGTACACTGATAACTGACGAGGTATGTGCCCCACTGGCACTTGGTCTGACTGAAAAAAAAATCTAAAATAAGATTTTAGATGACGCTATTTGGTAAGGAGAATAAAAACTGTGGTCAACCTGCAAGATCTTTATTTTTGTAGTTTTTTATTTAGTTTTAATACCCCAATAACCATTATAATGTTTAGGTATAGGTTAAGGTCACAGTGAAATTATTTATCATAGTTAACAAAAATAGCAGTCACTTTTTCTTTTGTGTTCCACCATTTCTCATTTTAATTCCTATATGAAAATCTATGTATACTATTATTTATATAGTTTTTTTTCTTCACATTACCTATCTATTATTCAGTATACAGAATGGGGTCCCACATATATGCAATAAATGAAACCATATACTTGTTATCGCCTTTGCTGAAGATATACAAAAAATGAACGTAGTCGGTCCAGTAATTAGGTCAAAAAGTAGAGTTTTAATTTTAAGCAAATTTGAACTCTCTATAGAATTGGGTCACTAAGTCAATGATTCAATGAACTTGAATCCTTGAACATTAAAAAGCGACGTTGCCACGCAGTGCAAACTCAAACAAAAAAACAACAAAAAAAACAAAAAAGCGACATATCGACAGCGGTGTCTTTTGTCGACGTCCATAAACAAGCGGCACGAGGCTCGCGGCGTACTTCAAAGGCGACGGCGAAGTGCGCGCGCGCCTTTGTCGTAGAGTAGGACACCAGTTATCGACGCTTAGCTTCTTTCAAAGGGAGTAATAATCGATAAACAAAAAAAAATGTTTAGCTTTAAACACTTAGGGTATGGTTTTTTAGAATAATCGTGTTGTTATGATAATTCTAAAAACACTACGACCTAAGTATTTAAAGCTAAACTTTAAAGCTTTTTTGTTTAAGTGTGTTCTTGTAGATTTAGAGATAATAAATTATTTTAACATGCTAAAAACCCATAAAAACAACCAATTAAAAAGTCATACATACTTACCCGTTTCCCAGGAAGTTACAAATCGGTAGTTTCGTAAGTTCAATTGTATAAAAATAAACTTTTTTTTAACAATCAATAACTTGTCGATTGTTATCAAATCAAAAATCAAAATGTAATGTCCAAAACTTGTATTCAAATGTAGTAGGTAAGTAAGTGTAAAAAGAAAAGTATCGATAAACGATAATTGCACCTTGTGGCCTTGTGGTATTTATTACTTTTATTATTTTCGCCATTTTGGAATTTGGAAATTCGGCTTCCAGTTCACGCGCAATTCTCCCAGAATACAGGTGTGTTTCGCTGCCTACACGCATCGCAATTATTTATCGTAAGATAATTATTGTATTATCGTAAGATATTAAATACAATTAGTCGAACAATTCTTTTACGGTGAAATAGACACTTATTAGTTAATATACGTGGTAGAGCCATGCTGCAGTTATATTAGTAGTATAGTTGTAGCACGAATGGGTCGGCTCAACCGGGGAAGGACCACGCTCTCACAGAATACCAGCGTGAAATAGTAGCTTAATGCTGCTGTATTTCGTATGGTGAGTGTAGAGAACCGGAGACCCATTTTACTGGAAACGAGGCATTCCATCTTAGTCCTCACGGGTGACAACGCATCTGCATTTTGATTCGTAATCGAGGATAGATGTAGATGTCTATGGGCCACAGCAACCACTTACCATCAGGTGGACTGTCTGCTCGTTTGTCACCCTATCCTATAAAAAAAAAAAAAAAAAAAAAATTGACTTTGTGTGTGTAAATAGTGTTTTTAAGTACGTTTATTTTTATTATTTTTTTCACTGTGATATTGACACTACTTGACTTTTGTGTATACGTTTTGGCGGCGGAAAATGCCAAGACAACAGCATTTTTACAGTGCGGCAGAGTATACAGACATGGTTTTATTGTATGGCGAATGCCACCAAAATTCAGCGTTAACTCTGCGTACTTATAGTGAGAGATACGGCGCAACTCGCGTCTGCCCTACTAGCGTCCGGACAATCCTAGGTGCTGTCCAAAGAATCAGGGAAAATCAGCGCATAGTGCCCAACACTCATGAAGGAGTTGCTCCGCGTCACTTTCCACCCTCGTTCGAACAACGAGTCTTAGACCATTTCGATCGGAATCCAACCTGCAGCCTTAGACAAGCTGGGCGTGTGTTTAGAGTGAGGCATAAAACAATACACCGAGTGCTGAAAAGGAACAAACTACGTCCTTATAAATATGTTAAGGTGCAGGCGCTGCTGCCCCGCGATAAGCCGATTAGAGAATCTTACTGCCACTGGGTACTGGAAAAAATGTCTCAAGACCAACGTTTCCTAACAAATGTGTTTTGGACAGATGAAAGCACGTTTACTCGAAACGGCATATGGAACCGACAATCCATGCGTTACTGGAGCCATACGAATCCCCATTTATTTAGGGAATCAGCTCATCAATACCGATTTTCCATTAATGTTTGGGCAGGCATTCACGGAGATTAAATAATCGGCCCTATTTTTATTGACGGAAACCTGAATGCACAGAAATTTCTCAATAATCTTAACGGCCCAATAACAGAATATTTAGAAGGATTGTCTGTGGCAGATTACCAAAGGGTATGGTTCCAGTTAGATGGAGCTCCTCCACACTCCGTACTCCTCGCGAGAGAGCGGCTAAACACCATGTTCGGCGAACAATGGATAGGGCGCTATGGCCCTCGTAGGGGGCCAGCTCGATCGCCTGACCTCACTCCTCTAGACTTCTTTTTATGGGGCTTTATTAAAAATGAAGTGTACTCAAAGATCTCCGAAACCGAAGATGAACTGCGCAATCGTATTGTTGCCGCCTTTAACAAATTAAAAGCCCTGGCTCTGGATCCTGAACGAAATTTGTTGAGCAGGCTTCAGGACAACATTATGCGGTAACTTGTGCATTCAAGAACGTGGCGGACATTTTGAAAATTTTAAAATTTAGGGTTTCATTAAATTTTGGTACTAATATGCAATAATATTTATTTCGTTCAGTTCCATTTTCGCGAAATAAAAAAGTGGCGGTAAAATATCTAAACAGTTTAGTAAGTTTTTATTTCGTCGCACATTGTCCAACGAACCATAGGCCGTGCCGACAATCGCCATGCCACCCGCGTGCAACGTTGTCACTCTTCCAAGGGGTCAAGGTACGTTGTCTAAACAGAGTGTTCACTTTTACTGAATTTATTTTAATATTTATTTTGTTTGAAAATTTCACTTTTTTATTTTACGGGTTTTAATTTAACCCTTAAATGCATAATGTATCAAAAACGATACGTTGAGATTTTTTAACTAAAACTTAAAGCCAATTGTTTGTTTTTATTAGGCTGTATGTTACGATGCTCTTAGACTATTTGTCTATCGGAAAAAAAAAAACAAAGTTTCTCGTATTGGTCCACCATATTTGTTTCGTAGCTGTCAAAAGTATTCTTGTCAGCGAGTGAATGTTTTTGTGAAAAATTCTAACTTTATCCAGACGAATCGGAGTGGATTTGAGACAAATTATATCAAAAAAAAATATACAATGTCAAGGTAAGTGTTTGTGTTTATAGTAGGTTTATGTATTTTTTACGAAAAATTGATTTCTCTCATAAACAAAAGAGTTTTTAGTTTGTATCGAAAATGAGACACCATGCACTTAGGCATAAAAAATATTTCTATGCATGTTGATGATTTTCGCGTTTTTGTTTTTATTTACGCTTCTTTGAACTTTACAAATTTGTTGCAGAACTACAAGAAAGAAATTGAAAGACGATGATATAGAAAATATGCTAATGCGGTTAGAGGCTGGCGAAATTTCAGAAGACGATGCCGAATCAGATGAGGATGACTTGGATTTCTATCCGTCTCGCAAAGATCTACAAGCCGTACTCGAAGATAAAGAAGTAAGTGATGAAGAGGAAGTGCCTGAAACTGAAGAATGCCCGGATCCTCCCCTGGTTCATGAAGAAATCTATCAACAAGCTTCGACTTCTCGGTCTAATGTATTTCCGCAAATAAATACACGAAATTTGATTTGGAAAAAACGTATATCTAAACGTGTATCTTTGGAGTATAAAGAGGAATCAATTGCTTTCTTGGGTAGTACAGAATTAGGACCTGAACTAATGAAACTAGAAACCCCACTGCAGTTCTTTTCACAGTACTTTTCAGAAGACTTGTTGAAAAAAATTGTTGAAGAAACCAATAAATATTCGACGCAGACCAATATTGATCGCCCCGTTCAAATAAGCCTTACAGAACTTCGAAAATATTTGGGAATATTGATATTCATGTCTGTCTATCGCTACCCAAGCGTTAGATCGTATTGGAGCAGTAAATTTGGATTTAGACCAATAATAGAAGCAATGCCTGTCAACAAATTTGAAAAAGTAAGAAGCATATTACATTTCAATGATAATAATTTACACAAACCAGTTGGTAGCCCCGACCATGATAAACTTCACAAACTAAGACCCATTATAGATCATCTGACAATGAAATTTTCTAGTGTTCCAATGGAACAACGCCTTTCAGTTGACGAACAAATGTGCGCAACAAAAATCAGCCATTTCTTGAAACAATATTTACCCAATAAACCCCACAAGTGGGGGTTCAAGCTTTTTGCGTTGTGTTCCTTGGCAGGATATTGCTATGATTTCATAATATATAGTGGAACAGACAAAGAACCAATGCGTAGTAATGAACCTGATATTGGAGTGACCGGTAATACAGTAATAAAGTTAACTAGAAGAGTCCCAAGAATGATGAACCATGTAATATACTTCGATAACTATTACACTTCATTACCACTAATGTATTACATGGCGAAGGAAGGCATATGGTGCTTAGGTACGGTGCAGCTAAACCGTCTAGGAAAGTCTTGTAAGTTGCCTAAAAAGAAAGAAGTAATGAACAGTAATGTACCCCGAGGATCCTACATTGAAAACACGACAAGTCTCGATGGTGTGGATTTTTCTGCGATCAGTTGGAAAGATAACAAGCAGGTGACCTTACTTTCCACTTATATTGGCGCTGAACCTGTAGAAACGATTGAAAG